AACCATGATCCCCACCCTGTCCCCAGGGTTTCTGTGAACCCCTGGTGAGCACCAGTGAAGGATTTGGAGGGGGACTAACTTGAGTATCTACCTCTTTTCTCATTGTAGGCAGTGTGAATCACTGAGCCTGAACGTGTACAGAGCCAGGTGGCTAAGTGTTTCCAGAAACAACCAGCTATTTATTGGCTTCCTGGCTCCAGATAATATGATGTGCGATTTGATATGCGCTCCAACAGAGTAGTGGGAGGGAGATGAGTTATTAAATGCCCTTACTTTTAAAGTTTTTAAGATATTTTTTTATGCCAGCGTTATACACACTTCTTTGAGAACATTTTCCAAGGTAAGGTGACAGAAGAAAGATCTCACAATTAGGGGCAGGGAGGTCCTCGGTGGCTGATTGTACTCGCTGTCCCGGTTTTGCAGACTGAGGAGCTGAGGCCCATGGAAGATTATAGAAACCTGCTCCTTGTCCTGAAGGAGGAACTCAACACATACCCACTGATGGGACTGATGGAGACTATAATAAAAGATTCCCACGGATGCATGACTGTGTTAGGCACTCGGGTCATGTGGAAATCAAGGTGGGGTCCCAGTATGGGTGGAAAGTCAGAGCAAGTACAGGACTTTGATTAAAGCACTGAAAGAGGCTGAGGAAGGGACGTCAGGCTCAAGAGACAAAAAGGCAATGGTAGATGCCGCAGGGGACCTAGAAATCTCATGAGTATCTACTCAACCCCTTTTTCAATTACACTTACAAGTGGGTTTCCATTAACCAAAGCATATAAAAGTTGGGTCAAAGCAGCCATCTTCCAGTGGTGAAAATTGTCAGAGAGTCAGAAATCGGTCACCCTATGTATTGAAATTCTATGAAAATGTCTTAAGAGAAAGTTAGAGTAAAAGTCAAGACTAGTTAACATTCCTCTCCTAATTTTTAAATTTACTACAGTAGGAGATTGCTTTCCAAGAAATTACATAAAGTTATTTTCAAAGGAGATTGACTGCATTCTTCCTTAGTGATTTCTGAAAAGGGAAGACTCTGGGACCTCCTTCCCATCACTGACATGTGTCCTTTCTAGTAGAAGTATGTTGAAAAGCCCTGTTTCTGGCTGCAGCTGAAATTTACTTGTTCAATCAAAAATGTTTACTGAGCACCTACTCTGTGTGGGGACATTGTCCCCAGCCCAGGGGATGCTCTCATGACCAAGATAATTAAGACTGTGCCCTTATTATAGGGAAGACAGACAGTAACACAAGAAACACTTAAATAAACAAGGCTTTTGTAGATAATTTTAGGAGGTATGAATGCGATAAAGAGTGCATTGGGTGGGGTGTGCTACTTCAGACAGGATAAGATGGGAAGGCCTGTCTGTGGAGCTGAGATTTCAGCTGAGATCTTTATGACAGTAAGAAACCCTGGTGGGAACACAGCACACTCCACATGGAGAAACAACAGACCGCACATTCCTGCAGTGGGACCAGGCTCGGTGTGTGCAGGGAGTGGAGAGGCCAGTGTGGCTGAAGCAGTGAAAGAAGGAGAGTAGCAGGTGGTAGTATCAGGCAGTTAGGTGGAGGAGAGGGAGGAGAGGAAGGAGAGGGAGGATGGTCTGGAAGATGGTATTATGCCCGCCTCCAACATAAAGGGGCTTTATTTCCTCTAAATGAGTGCCAGCAAGAAACCAGTTAGAACCTGATAGCTGCAGCTGTGCAGTAGTGAGAAGGACCTAACTGGACAGGACCCCAGTGCTCATTGTAATATAATTAGCATTGCTGTGTAGGCCCCGCAGGGATTTTTCTCTGTACACCACGGGGAAGGACATGCGCAAAGAGGACAAACTTAACTAAGCACTCCAGGGAGAAGAGCCATCAATCAATCAAAAGACCACCTCTAAGTGAGGGTGTAAGAGGAGGGGCAAACAAAGACGACTGCACCCCTCCCTTGGATCCGCCCGCCTCCCATTCTTGGAGGTGCACTTTTCCTTCCCTAAATAAATCCTTTAAAACCTTGCTGTACAATGCACCATCTCTTGTCTGCATTCTTATCTTTCCAGTAAGACAAGAACTGGGGTCTTCTCCCTTCTCCTCTTTGGGGTAACAGCAAGGGTGGCCAGGAGGTGGCAGTGTGGGTGGCAGGTTTTGCTGTGAGCCAAGGAGGGAGCCCATTTGGCAGGTTTTCTACAGGACAGTGATGTGACCTGGCCACGCCGTGGAAACAGTGCAAGTCCCAGCTAGGTTTTAATGGAGAAGAACAAAAGAGCAATCCGTATACCTTCACTTTTGGGTCAGGATTCAGGTTTTTAAAATAACCCCATCACGCGGTTTAGTGGTGACCTTCTTCGAAAAGGGGGAACCGAGTAGGAGCACATCTCCCCTGGGGCTGAGTTTTGCTCACATGTTGCAGTCAATAACATCACACATTCAAAGACAAAATTCTACGTTGCCATCTGCAGATTTAGGCTGTTACACAGTTGGGACTTCATAACCAAGTGGAAATCGAATCTTGGTGAATCTGTAAATTGATTTTTCCTCTGCTGACCATGTAGGGCTGGAGCCCATTACATTAAGCACTTTTGAATTCAGTTGAACATCTATTACTTAGATATGTGTTCTAAACAATACATTGACATTCTTTCCGCATACATTCATAGATCACTTAACAAATAGACTAAATATGCATCCTTCCCCATGCCCAGCTTCGCATTCCCACCCCTTGCCTCCCCATCTCCCTTCCCAAACACAGCATTGGCAGCACCTATTGTACTGTTGGTGGCGGAAGCTTGTCTTCCAGAAACTTTCCCTCTGGATTCTAAGTGCTCTGAGGGCAGAATGGCGCCATTGTGGGTCCAGCGCTGGCCCCATCTTCCCTTACACCACGTGCCCCATCCTCACCCAGTGTTCCTCACAGCATCTTGCACATGAGAGGCTTCCCGTTGAATTGAGTGGTAAATCCAAGAGCGTTTCCGTGTGCATGCCTGTACAATTTAGCAAGACAAACATGGCCTGCCATAAATACCATAAATACTCAGGGGACTTTTAGATGTGCCACTGAGTTAAAGGAAGTAATTCATTCCAGGCTGCTGAGTCAGCCAAGTAAAACCTGACGTGTTTCGAAGCCATGAGTAGTAGGTAGAGTGGGTGTGCGCTGTGTGCCAGCTAGCGGCAGGATTTACAGAATGGGAAGCTCTCAGGAGCCTTTTCTATCAAAGTCCAAAGCTTTTATATAATCCATTCTCCCTACAAGTAACTCTTTCTGTGCAAGGAAATGCTTTTGCAACAATTTGGTTTTGTCACAGAGTGTTTTGCTTTCCCCTTGGCAACTGCAGGCAGGACTTGATGTTCTGGGATTTCTCCTCCTCTGGATTTGGGTGTGAGTTAACTTCCATTTTTACTGCTTGCAAATCATTGTCTAGGCTTTACAGGCATGTGTGGCATGTGCTTAATGCCTCATACAGGACTTACCAGACATCTAATTCCTTCCTGGAGGCGGCAAACGTAGGTCAGCAATGTTCGCTGTCCCGCAGCCTCGCTGGAAATGCAGACCCTTTCAGGACCTTGCGTGGAAGATTTTTCAGCTCCTTTTATTTGCATATTAAAATAGGGTTGCCAGGTAAACACAGATCACCCAGTCGGATCTGAACAACAAATAATATCTTAGTATAAATAAGTCCCTAATATTGCATTGAGAAATACCTACAAACTAAGAGTGTTTGTTTACCTGAAAGGCAAACTCAGCTGGGCGTCCTGTATTTTCCTTTGCTAAACCTGGCAGCCCTGATTAGAATCACAGCGGCAGCCAGCTCTGCGGGCTGATACCCTCCCTCCCTCAGTAAACGGAAGACGGCGAATGGAGCAGTTCTCCTGGCTTCCAGGTCTCCTGCTGTGCCCAGTGTCTCGGAGTGAGGGGAGCGAGGCCCGCAGTTTGCAGCCACGACGTGGGGCCAGGAGGAGATGGGGAGGCTGTCCTTACAGCAAACAGCCTCTGCAGCTGGGTGGGGACTGCCTGTTGCAGGAACTCCAGAACAAACACTCCAGCTGCTTGAATTAAAAGAAACCAAACAAACAAAAAGCGGGGGTATGGGGAGCAGTCGACAGCCGTTTTAGCTTTTAACACTCTTGCGGGTATAGGGGGCCCTGCTGCCTGCGCGGAGGAAGCAGCGCAGGGCTCCCCCATCGGATCCCAGGGAGGGTTGGAGAGCGAGAACGGGGAACCCTAGTCCCTGAAGATGGGTCCGTGGAGCCCATCACAGATGGCAGGAAGGTGAAGTTAGGGCTGGAGCTGTGAGAAGCACAGGGCTACTCCCAGACGCCAGGTATCACCCTCTGTCCCCGTGCATGGAGCAGTGAGCACACCAGGTGTGGCATTTGCTGCACCAGAAGGCCCATCTTCTTGGGAAGGAGGGTCTGGAAGATGCTGTGACATCCTGGAAAGGTTTTCCAAATCTGCTGGGTGACAAGGCATCCCTGTCAAGCAAGTTGGCAGCGAGCAGGAGAGGCAAGGGTACGGATTGCCCTCACTGGTGGGGGACATCCAAAGTGAATTCTAGTTGATAACAGGGACTAGCTGGGTGACACTGGGCACATCAATTTACTTCAGTTTCCTCCTCTACAGAATGAAGTTGTAATAAATGGTGGGCTCTGCCAGCTCTGATCTCCTTATTTGTCTGGAAACTGCTCCAAATGGGAACAATGCTTCCTCCAAGTCAGTTCAGCTAACTACACTGTCGATGAGAAAGAACAGAATGACAAATATGGAAGAAGGAAAAAAAAAAAAAAGAGGGGAAGGGAATTTATTTCCTGCATAATTATCAACATTATTTCTCATCCAGCATCAGACGTTCACTCCCCTTGCTGAAGGGTATGTGTGGATGGCTTTCGGGGAATGTGACCAACATTAATAAATTGATGCTGAGGCAGAACAACTGTATCAATAGCAATTTTGGTGTCTGCAAGGTGACTGTGGAGTCTGGAATCATAGATGATACTCTAACGTTTTTTCAGATTGAAGATATTTGTGACAACATTAAGTACATTCACCTATGTTACTGGAATATACATATATATATATAGAGAGAGAGTGTGTGTGTGTGTTCATACACATGAGGAAAAAAGCAAAATGTAAGTGATTAGTGAATCTAAAAATAGTCAATGAAGGTGTATGGAACTAGGGTTTTCACAGGTGTATTCAGGTAACTGCTATTTAAACAGTGAAAGCATTGCATCTGAATGGAAAATGAGCTTTTAAAATCAATGAGGTAAGAAATGACTGCAGCATTTTTACACTAGAGAAAGACCTGACTTTGCATTCACAAAGAATTTATGGGAAATATCTAGTATTAATAAAATGTTCTCATTTCCAAAAATAGACAGTGAGGGATTATTTTTCACTTTTGTTCATTTTGGAACTTTACATTTGGTTTGAAAGGCGTTTCTAATTTCTGCACCACACCCTAGGCAAAAACTGCAGGAACCCAAGGGTTCATGCCTTCTGGCTCCAGCTGCTGCTGAGTGGGTTGCAAAGCCCCACCCAGAACTGATCAAGGCTGTGCTAGTGCCCCTTGCTGACGGCTCCACCTGACTACTTTTCATTCAAACTGAAACGTCAACTCTGTGTTTAATTTACTTTGATGAAATAATTCACCAAGTAAGGATTATTTGGAATCTGCCTTTCCCCTAAATTCTCATTCAGCGTTTGATGCTGGAATGTAGGGGTGGGAGTTATGCATAAAGCATGATCCTTGCTCGCAGTGTACTTACAGTCCAGATGCTGTAGGACACAGGTTGCATTAGGACTGATGTTTTAGTTCCAGGGATGGAATTGGAAGCAGGTTCTTTTTTCTCTAAAGGAGTGGATCTTAATTCAGCCCCACGAGATCTATGGGTAAAACCCTGGTGAGCTTCGGTGCCATCTCCAGCCCTTCTGGGTGAGCATAGCCTGTTGTCAGAGAAGGAAGAAGGACTTGTTCTGACAGCCTGCAGTCTCCGAGTGGTACCCAGTGTACCACCCAGGGCGCACTCTGTTGCCTTGGGCTACCCCGTGGAGAAAGTCAGCGGGCCCTCTCTTTACTGGGGTCACTGATGTAGTTTTCAGGGCATGGGCTATGCTGCCACAACAGCCTGCTAATCCTATAAAAATATATGGCAAAAAATCCGACGCTTACATTTCAAACATAGTATTGGGGCCTAAATTTAAGCTGCTATTGAGCAATCAAGTTTCATTAGTCAGCTTTTTGTCTCAGTACATTTGGAGGACCATCTGATTACGAAAGAAGGGATGTCTGAAGTCTCGTTGCAACGTGGTGTTTCAGGGAAGCTCCTGAAGGAGACTATCCAGGGTCCCCTACCAGGACACAGGTCAGAAGAATACTGTAGTGCAAGGCAGGGTGGAATAAAGGCTGCAGAGAATGACAGGGTATGCGCTTGTGGAGCACAGAGAGAGGAATGAGGAGGGTTGATTCTGGAACAGTCAGGAGAGGTTTCATAAAGAGAGGAGCAGCTTTTTGAGCAGGGTTCTCAAGGGTGGGTGGGACATTCACAGGCAAGTACTGCGGAAACATGACCCCTGCACTCAGGAGCAGCACGAACTCCAAATACTAGACGAAATAAAATGATGCCAGGAGCAAGTAATTAGCCAAATCCAATTTACCCTGTCTTTAGCAAGTCAATGGCATGGAAAGAAAGAGGTGGTGGAGAAGCGAAGATTAATCTAGATTTAAAAAGACCTACTGCACCTCCTGTTAGTAGAATTCTCTGCCTTCCCTCCCTTCTTCTCCAACCCCCCTCCCCCATTCCCTCATTCATGTATTTGACAAATACTTATTCGGCACTCATTGTGTGACTGGCACCGGGTTAGTGAATCAACGCCGTGGATCCTACCCTTATGTCTCTCCAGTTGATGCTTTCATTTCTGCCCCCTTCAGTCTCATACCTTTTCCACGACCTGTAAAACTAATGTAAACATTGACCTGGAATCAATAAATTCCACAGGCCATCTACAGGGTGAAGGGCAGGTGCAAGGACCTCCATGGAAGAGGGCTCCGTGGAACAGAGCTCACAGACAAAAATGACAAGACGTGGTGAAGTCACATGGCAAGGAAGACAAATAGAAGATTATACACCCCAGAGTAATACAAACCCCTTTCTGAGAAACGTAGGATGCAAAAAATTTAAGTCTCTTTAAGAAAGGAAAACTTTTTAATTAAAAGGAACTGTAAGCAATCTTTCTTGCTCCTAAATGTCTATACATTTGTTTAATTGAGCATTATATGCAAATAATACTTCTTTGTTGAAAAGAGGAGATGCTGCCACCAGTGCATACTTGCTAAATAAAGCGGGTGAGACAAGGTCTCAGGTGAGACTGCCTATCTCTGGCGGATTCTTTTTGGCTGTGTTGCCCAGCCATGCAGTGTAAAGCCATCAGAACTCTTGTTATCAAAGTGTTTCATGATAAATGTTTCTTTTCACCCACGTGAAATGTAAACCTCTGTTGTTTGTTTGGACGTCAAAAATCATGAAACAGATTTTAGAGACGTTTTAAAACGTCACAAAATGCAGGTAAGAGGTAGTAATAGACGAAAATAGTATTTTTTAATGACTGCAAATGTAAATAAAACAAGTTGTATTTTCTCTTTCTCTACTAAAAGCTGTTTCTGGTTCTACTAATACTTTAGAAAATACATTATGATTTCTGGTATTTGGAACAGTAGCATGGTGAAAATAAGGCTTTTAACAATCTCAAAACCTAAACACAGCAGGAAGTTTTACGTTTCAATCCCAATAAATCAAAACAAAGGAATCTGAGCAGCAATTAGTAATGGCTTATCTCCATATACGGCTGCCAAACCACTGCAGTGTTAAATCTTATTAACCATCCATTGGTCTTATTATCTGTGTTAATATTAACATTTTTACTGTGGGTTCATTTTGTGTGGAAGGATAAAACAAATGCATAGTTAATTATTTTATTTTAACTTACAAATAATTCTATGGTTCAGCAGATTATGAAAGAAAAGAAGTTAAAGTTTGGAATAGGAGGTGACATAGTGGGTATGCCACAGACCAAATGTAAAACCTTAAAAGTGTTCATGTGTGAACTCATGTATACAAAAGGGGTCTTTTCTAGCTCTGACTCTAAGTAGCCCAGTTACAGTTATCCCAACACTACACTGAAGGCAGGTAATCTATTCTTTATCCCTTTGCCTAATTTTTATGTACTAATACAGTATATTCCTCTAAGTTCTGATTAACTGTGCATAACAGAGCACCCTAAAACTTAAAGGCTTGAAACAACAACCTACTATTATCTCTCACAGTTCTGGAGGTTGATTGGTTCAGCTGAGCTGTTCTTGGTTTGGGTCTTACAGGGTTGCAGTCAGGTGGTGGCTGTGGCTGACGTCATCATCTTTAAATGTCTGGCATCCGGGATGGGAAGTCTGGAATAATGGGGAGCTGGTTGGGCATCTCTCTCTCCATGTGACATCTGCATGTGGTTAGCTTGGGCTTCCTCACAGTATGGTGGCCTAGGGTAATCGGACTTCTTGCATGGTGGCTGGCTTCGTCCTGAGCGAGCATTCCAAGGCACCTGGGGGGAGCTGCAGAAGTTCTAATGACAGTCTCGGGAGTCCTGCAGGGTTAGCTCTGCTGTACTCTGTTGGATAAAGCTGTTGTAAGTCAGCTCAGATTTGAGGAGGCGGGGGAATAGCCTCCTCCTCTCAATGTGCCCTGCATGTATGAACAGGGAAGAAACTGGTGGTTTCACAAAGCATGTTTCTACCACACGAATTAGTTCATGTGTGGTTAGACAATGGTCTCAGTCTAACTTAGAAGTCAAGTTTGATCATATCAGACTTTCTCTAGGCGAGGGGAAGCAGAAGAGCAGGAGTGGAATTACAACCTTCAGCAGGAAAGAAAACAATCCCACAGCTCAGTGCTGCACTGGGAGTAGGGCTCCTTTAGCTGAGTTTTGTGAAAATTGAAAATGAGCACCTGCACCAGGCTTTCTGGGGAGGCCCAGACAGCGCACCCAGCCTTGTGCCACATTTGGCTCCTGTGCCTGGGAAGTTCCTGGCTCAGAGCTGGTTCAGTCTGGGTTGTCCCAGCAGCCCCCAGCTCTGCTCTAACCAGACTGTGGCCAGCATTTCCACTCGATGTTTGTGTGAGTTTTTAATGTCTTCCAGTGTAGCCTCTAGCCATGTCTAGCTGCCTGCCTGGGTCGTCCAAGGTGATCGCCAAGGTACCAGTGATTGTTTCTCTTAGTGCTTTGCTTGCGAGTTTGCCTGTCTTTTGAGTGGTCTCCTTAACTTTATTTACCCCATAAACTCCATGACTTTTAATGTGTGATTTTGTAAGAATGTGAGATTTTTCAATTACACACATTTCACATTATAGCAGACAAACCAGAACTATTTATTCTCTAAATGAAAGCAGATCTCCTTGGAGAGAAACTGATTCCATTCTGGGGGTAATATTCTAGACTGGCTTGGAACATTTATGTCAGAAAGCCATGATGCCTTAGAAATTCTGGAGAAAGACATAGAAACCAGCTTAAAAGGGGGATCCACTGGTCAAATTTCAGCAATTTGAGTATCAAAAAAAAATACACCAAAAAAATTATGGTTAATTAAAATATATTAAGTCATGAAAAGCCAGGGTCAATAATGATACTCAAAGAAAAATAACGAGAATTTTCTTTTCAAAAAGCAAGTGTTATATTTGGGGTGCATTTATTCAAATGAGCAAAGGTATTGCTCATGTCTAACTGTACAACTTGCTTCAGTATTGCAGCTACATATACACACAAAGGCAGACTAATTACATGTCAGCAAAAGACTGGAAAGATTTCACGTCCAGGTTTGGGACATGATGGCGACTGAAGTACGTTCGTTATATGCTAAGTTATGAAGAATCTAAAGAGCCTTAAAATTCACTAAGACTGCCACTGCCCACATCACCTAGAATTTTCAGATAGTTGTAGGACATTAACGTGAGTAGATGAAAAATATAAACTGGCTGATGTTCGTGTAGAAACAGTGTTCAGAGGGCCACAGCTCTTGTCCTGAAGTTCTCATAAATTAACACTTTCAGGCAACAGAAAGACAGCGCGCTCCCTCTTTACTTATTAGTGGACAGGCTTGTGAGACCTGCTGCCGCCAGTCTGTGGCCGGCCACTCACGCTATCTGATGACGCAGTAATCTAGTAGAAGCACTAGTGAAATTCATAAGCCAGGGGAACCCCTTCTCCCCTTCTCACCTCTGTCTCCCTTGGGTCTGAAGTTCCTTCAGAGAAGACTTGTAGCCTTGAGTTGAATGGATTTTGTCTTTCGAACATACTGGAAATGTGGCGATATCTCTTTGCTTGCATTTATTTGCTGCCTGGTGGTTCTCACGGTTACTCCTGGTGACTCCCGGTTACTCCTTTGATTTTCCTCCCTTGCCCTGCAGAGAACTGGACGAACCCTTCCCAGGAGGGAGGGAGGGAGGGAGGGAGAGGCCTGGGGACTTACCTCTTGAACCACTCAAGAGGGTTACAGGAAATTTTTGTTGACCTAAACCAAAACGACTTTATTGACCCTGAAGGGTAGACGGTAACATTAAAAAGACAATTAAATATGGAACTAGTTGTTCCTCAAAAAAAAAAAAAGTTTTACTGTTTCACATGTTGTGTTTGCAGCCTTTAGTCCAAGACATGTTTAATAGTTTTAGTTCTAGAAACATATAAAGGTAAATTAGGCCAGGTATTTCAAATGTTTCTTAGATGAAAATATGCTATTATGGAATTGTTAGGCTGGTAAAAAAAACTGAATTACTTTGCTAAAGATACACAAAAAGACTTACCTTAATGAAAAGAGATTTTAAAAGGTCATTTATGTAATAGTAGAACTAGAGACAAGTGAAATAAGTGAAACTAAAACAGAGGGGAAAATTGGGGCAAAGG